AAAAAATTTCAATTAGTTAGCGGTTTGGTGCAAGAAGCTTATTAAGCTAATATTTTTTTATAATAAATTAATGAAAAAATATATAATAATTACTTAATATTATTAAAAAAAAAAATAAAGTTGAAACTAATTAGATAAATACTAATTAAAAACCATAAAAAATTGAAAAAATAAAAGGATAAATTTATCAATAAAATTAAAAAATTTCAATTAGTTAGCGGTTTGGTGCAAGAAGCTACTTTAGGTAGTTTTTTTCAATCGACTAGTAATTTGGATTTTAATCACTATCTGCTAATTTCGAACCACTTAATAAAAAATTTTATCAAATACTTAGTTTGTAATAGTTTTAAAATAAATAAATTTACTAAACATCTATTTTTAGTGGTTTGGGCAAAATCACTAATCGTTATACCAAATGGGCTTTTAATTACCTTATAAAGTAATCTCTCCAATGTCTGTAAAGTATAGTATGGAAGTGTTTATAATCATTTTTTACGGTTAGGATTGATAAAGATACCAAGGGATTTAAAGAATTAATTATGAGGACTAAATCTTAAATTTGATATTATTGTTATTATGGTAGATTTAGGGTTTCTTGATTAGTAGGTCATCTAAGCCTTTATATAAAAGTCTCTTATGTAACAGTTTTATATCATTCAATAATATCTTAATTAATATACCTTTTTTTAGTTTTCCCTTCTCTTCTTCTATGTGGCATTAGAACTAATAACAATAGAGAAGAAATGAAAAAGTTGGAAGTGAAAAGGGAAATCTCGAATCTTCTATTCATAAAAAAAGTCTGTACAGAATCTCTATTTATCTATATGCCAAAAATAACACTTAAGGACTCTTGAGGACTGGCTTGTATTAAGTGCCAAACATTGGGGATTAACTAGCATCAACATTATTCCTTTTCACACACCTCCTCAAACAGATGCCATTGTGTAACATTGAAATTCTGTTTGTAATCCACTCATGCTGTGAAGTAGGAAGACCTTTAGTAAAGATGTTTGCTAGTTGCTCAGTTGAAGGGACAAACCTCAAATGAATTTCTTTATCTTCTACCTTTTCTCGAATGAAATAGCAATCCAACTCAAAATGTTTTCTCGTTGCATGAAAAACCGGATATAAAGCAAGCTTGATGGCACTTTGATTATCACAGCAAGGAATGCATTAGAAATTTTGATGCCTAGCTTAGAGAAGAGATGTCTAAACCAGGCAAGTTTAGCTACTGCATTTGACATGGCCTTTTGTTCAGCTTTTGTGCTAGATTTAGACACCTTTCGTTGCTTCTTGCTACTCCATGAAATGGGGGAACCAACAAAGAAAACAGAAAAACTAGAAATGGATTTTCTAGAATCTGGATCTCCTCCCCAATTAACATCTTAGAAGGCAACCAGATCAATTTTTGTCTTGTGAGCTGAAAAGAACAAGCCATTATGTAGTGTACCTTTGATATAGCGTAAAATCCTTTTTGCAGCTTGAAGATGTGCCTCTTGTGGATCATGCATGAATTGACATACTTGATTTACTGCATATGTGATATCTGGTCAAGTAAAAGTCAAGTATTGCAAAGCTCCCACAAGACTTCTATACTTCTCAGGATGCTTCATGGGAGTGCTTTCCTTTTGAGACAATTTATTGCCAAGAGCAACTGGTGTTGGTGTTGGCTTACAATTATCTAAGCCAAATCTTTCCAAAAGATCAAGGGCATACTTCTGTTGAGTTACTTTCATTCCATCTGATGAGCGTTCAATCTTTATCCCCATAAAATATTTAAGATCCCTTAGATCTTTCATGGCAAACTCATGGCCAAGCATGTGCTTCAATTTGTCAATTGCCTCCTTGGCATTTCTAGTAATAATAATGTCATCAACATAAACAAATACCATGACTAATTTCATACCTTTTCTCTTGAAGAACAAGGAGTTATCTGATTTGCTCCTAAAGTATCCACTTAAGAATAGACTAAAAAATGGACTTAATTCGATAACTACAGAAGGAGTTATGGCAAAATACTACAACAAGGTCATGCTATCAAAATTTTTCCAGCATAAAGAGATTAGATCTAGTGACACTAGATTATGGGCAAAATCAAGAGGAAAACTACAGAAACACTTCCAAAATTGAAAACCTTAAATGATTAGAGCTAACCCACTTTAAATTAAAAATAAAAAGGTGAGCAATATGTCAAGTTTCTTACCGGAATGTGCTGGAAAGATGGAGATCTCCCCTTACACTCCACAAGAACCCATATGAACCTTTCAATTCACTAGTGGTTTAGTATAAAAGACTAAGGTAGTTTTTTGAATCAACTAGTGGTTTAGTACAAAAATTAGTTAAGGTAGCTTTTTCAATTAACTAGTGATATATCTTATGGACTATCCACTAATGTCAAACCACTAAATAAAAATTTTTATCAAATACTTAGTTTATAGTAATTTTTAAATAAAAATATTTACCAAACATCTATTGTGTAGCGGTTTGAGTAAAACCTCTAATTGTTACTTCTAAACTACTATACCAAATAAATAGTTAAGTAGATTTTTATATCAATCTATTAGCAAATTGAAAATTTTTAATTACCATTTTATTTTATTTTTTTACCTCAGTCTTTAATATTCATTTATTTAATTAGTTCTAATTTCATTTTTTCTCTTTAATAACATTAAGTGATTATTATATTTTTATTTTTTACATTAACTTATTATAAAAAATTTTATATTAACTTAATAAACAAAATTTACAAAGTAGACAAAATAATTAAAAGTTTATTTTTTCTTTATTTAAAAATAATACAATTTTTCTTTGTTAAAAATAGAAATGAGTGTGCTTCACACACTTTTATACATATTATATTATATTTATTTATTATTTTTATAAAATTCATAATTTTAATAATAAAAATATAAAAATACAACTAACTGCTTTTAAATTTATTTTTATTAATTATTTAACGTTAAATAATACTATTAATCATTATATAACGAAATGGTTATATATCAATTAAAATTTGTTATCTACAATAATATTTTTTTTGTTATCTACAATAATATGCTACTTATTTTTTGTTATTTGCCATCAATTATTGGATTTTAACTATTAAGAGCTTATTTGGTGTGACTTGTGAGAGCTTTTGCTTTTTGAGTACTGTTATGAGTGATAAATTTAAATTTTTATTAGAGGAAAAATAGAGCTTTAACTTTTGGAGATATGAAAAAGTGAGTGAAAAATGAGTAAAAATGGAGTTTATAAAAAGTTTGAATTTAAAACTTTTGAACATTTACTGTTTAAGAGCTTTTTGAAGTTAAAAAAATGTTTTAAAGTGTAAATTTTTAAGAGGGAAATTTAAATTCATGAAACATAAATAGTGTTCAAAAGCTGAAGCTCCTAAGACCAGATCCAAACAGGCCATAGTATAATATAGGTGCTAAATATCTTAAGAACTTCAAACCAAAGTCCTTTAAGAATTTTCCGTGCTTACCTTGACGAATTCAAGGAAACGATTTCCAACAAGATCCTCAAGTTTCAATTTTTTTGGTTCGTTTCACCTTTAAAAATATGCAAGGGAAAAGAGATGATACGGGAGATCCAATTTACCAGCTAAATGAGATATTCATTGGCTTCTATTCCATATTTGGCTTGAATCTTCTTTACTTTTAGACTTGATGCAACATGTTGTGACTTCATATTAGATATTTTTCTTATTTTTGTTGGCCACCAACTTCAGATGAGATTTTGTATTGATTTGGATTTTTTTTCATGGAAAAATTTAGTAAAAAATAAAGAAAGGAAAAAGAAGAGATTTTGTGTATCCAACCCATTTATAAAAGTTGTATATACATATATATATATATATATATATATCTTCTATGTCATTATCCTCACACAAGAAACAAGATTACCAGATATCTACAGGGGGGAAAAAAAAGACATGGTGAAAGAAAATATTGAAGAAGGACTACTACCTAAAAGGCCAAGCCATCGACTGGTTGCTGTTTTCTTCAGCACGGCAGTTGCAGTCTTTGGCTCTTTCTGTTTTGGATATGCTGTAAGTGGTTGCTGCTGGTTATACTTTTATAAATAAATATCAAGCCCACGAATGTGTTCTTCTTTCTCATGCATCTTGCATTTGTTGAAATCTATGAATTAACTTTCCTAGAAAAAAATTATTATTTTGTTAGTCGAAGAGTGATTAACCTACTCCTGAAACGGGATATAGAAATGCTATGAACTTAAATGGCTTTGCTTTATTTATGCAAAGAAACTTACCTTTTTGGTTTGGTTAACTGATGTACTACTGTCATAACTTGAAAGTTCTTTTGTCCTCTACTTGGTCTCAAATTGCAGAATGTGTGTCACTTACATTTAACACTTTAGACACAAAAAGATTGTAAAATACTGGTTATGAGTTGGGTACTTTGGTTTAATAGTATTATTTATTTTTTAAAGTTTTGCAAGGAGAGAAAAATTTCCTACAAAACTTTAAAAGGAAAAGTGCCCCCTAATATCCCTACAAAGTGAGAGTTTACCATCCCTAGTTTGGAATGCTGGGTTTGGGAGGGAGATGGAGGAAGGGTGGAAGGATCTCCACTCCTTTTCTTTTCTTATGATCTTGATAGAGTGGAGACTGGGGGGATGTGGATTCTCTATCAGCAACCCTTCAATTCCTCCATTGTGAATCCTCCTAAATTGCGAGAATTTTGGGAGGGGTTGAGTTAACTTTTACATATGTTTTTGTCTTTTTACCATTTAAAAAAAAAAGTAAGTAAAATTTTTAAATAATCATTAAATTAGCTGCAAATATATTTAAAAGTTATATTATTTCAATAAACTCACATTAGAAAAAACTAAAATAACTCTTTTTAAGAAATAAATAAATATTAATTTAGTCTTTCCCATGGTGTTTCATTGAAATGGCATAATTTTGTAATTTTTTTATATAATTTTTTTTCTGGAAAAATAACCTCTTAATTAAATTAGTGAAATTATAAAATTAAATTTTATTTTCTTTTTCTCTAAATTATCTAATTAAATAAAAAATAATCCCTACTAATCATTTTCTTTGCTTTAAAAACCTTATATCTTCCCTTTCCCTCCCCTTATAACTTTTATTCTTGGTGTTACTTTGATGAAGGAATTTGTTTGTGATTGCTTGAATACATATGCAGGGTGGTTATTCTTCACCTGTTGAATCTAGAATTATGGAAGACCTGGGACTGTCACTGGCATCGGTAAGAAGGCCTAACTTGACTCTTTCAATTCCCTTTATCAATTATCGGTTTCTCTCTTTTATAATTTTAATATTCCTCCCTAGTTTTTTAATTACATTTTGATTTTGTCCTCAATTTCTCAATTTATGGTTCCTTATTTTTGTTATAGAGTTCCAACCGTGTTTCTAACTTATCATAATCCCTAAAATTTTGGAGAAAATGTGCACGTAAGGATATCAATTTTGTATTTTTTTAATTTAAAGATATTAATTTTATTAGTTTTTAAATAAGAATATTAATTTTAATTTTTAAGTTTTTAAATTTTGTCAATTTTTAGTTTTTTTATTTAAAAATATTAATTTTTATTTTTTTCTATTTAAAGATCTCAACTTTCAATATTTTAATTCGTTTGCGACATCAATATCACCATGCAATTAATCTTAAATAATGACATTCTTAAATAGAAAGAATTAAAAATTGACATCTTTATATAAAAAAAATTGTAAGTTGATATTCTTATTTAGAAATTAACAAAGTTAATATTTTTAAATAAAAAAAAAATATAAAGTTGATATTTTTATTTACATATTTTCAATAATATTCTGCAAGACAAATGGGGTTTAAGTGGAAAAGAGTAAATTTAGTAACTTGATTATAAAGTTAATATTTTTGCAAATTTCTTATTTAATGATTTTGTTCCAATTCTATTCTATAGTACTCAATCTTTGGTTCCATAAATACAATTGGAGGAATGATTGGTGCAATAGTAAGTGGGAGGATAGCAGATCGTATCGGTCGAAAACGCGTAAGATTTCATATTCAGCCTTAAATTTCATGTCAATATAGTACATTAATTATGTTTAATTCCTCTAAATTGAGATGGTGATACTGTGAGGCAGGCAATGTGGCTCTCTGAAGTATTCTGTACTCCTGGGTGGCTTGCAATAGCATTTGCAGAGGTCTCTTCCCCATTTCCTTTCTTTCGTCTCATTCTTTTCTGCTAATCATTTAGATGAATTTCATTAGCTTTGTTCATATTTCTTATTAAAAAACCCTACTACAGAAAATTTACATAAGAATGTCTTCCAACATTATAGGAAGTTTACTGAACACACAAATTTTTTGTTGACAAGGATGCATTGTGGCTATATATTGGAAGGCTGTCGATCGGAGTCGGAGTCGGGATCATCACTTATGTAGTAAGTTTACAAGACTAATTTGAATTAAAATTTCCTTCTCACCTAGCTTGTCATTCATGTCATGTTGTAATCTCTATTTGTATTCTTGGGGAACAAATAGGTACCGGTATATATTGCAGAGATAACACCGAAAGATCTCCGCGGTGGATTTACATCAGCAAATCAGGTGATAAACCATGACTGAAAATGTTAACGAGTCAAACGGTAAGTTTATAGATCTGCATGTATTGATTTTTTGAAGTTTGCAGCTGATGGTAACTATTGGGTTTGGACTTGTATATTTCATTGGAAGCATGATTTCATGGCGCACCTTGGCTCTAATTGGTAAATTCTTTTGTTCTTTGAATTTTTTGATTTGTCAACTTTTTAAAATTAATTTTAGAGGTACAATAAATGGAGGTTTTGTGCTTATTGTTTATGGGGCGCAGGTACTATTCCATGTGTAGCACAGATGGTATGTCTATTTTTCATTCCAGAATCCCCAAGATGGCTGGTGAGTCTAATTAGTCATTCTAGTCAAGATGCTGTTTATTTCTTGATAACCCATTCTTTCCCCTTATCCTTACCCAGAAAATCCGATCCAAACATGTTAAAGTCCTCCAATTTAAATTTTGAGTTATGCTTTGAGGAGAAAAGTGAAATGCTCAAAGGTTAACAATATTAATGCAGGCAAAAATTGGTAGAGATGAAGAGTTTGAAGCTGCCCTGCATCATCTTAGAGGGAAAGACACAGATACATTGGAAGAAGCAACCGAGATCAGAGTAGCATTTCAACTTCATTTTTAAGCTCTTTTTTTTCAGAAATATATACAATATCTCCTGTTTACCATTTCTTCCTTCGCAGAATTCTATGGAAACTTTTCAGCAAGAGTCGGATGGTAGATTTCTGGACTTGTTCCAGAAGAGATACACGAATTCACTCATTGTGAGTTGAAAACAATATATCAACAAACTAATAGTCATCTTTGATAATTTTCCTTATCATTTTGTGGTTTTTGAAATTAATTCAGGTTGGAGTTGGACTGATGTTATTGCAACAACTTGGAGGAATCTGTTCCATATTATATTACTCTGGCAGCATATTTGAAGAAGCTGGTAAATTTTATTCCATTTTAGCATTGCTTGATAACTTTTTCTAAATGTAATTTGTAATGCCTAAGGGCAATAACAATTGATAATCATGAACCTCGGTCTGCAACAGGCTTTTCAAGTTTCACTGGAACTAAAATACTAGCTGTTATTCAGGTGTTTGACCCTTTTCACTATCTGCTATCATGAAATTCTATAATTAGTTGTTCTTCTACATCAACTTGTTAGATTCGTAAATACCCTTTTGCAGGTTCCCTTGGCATTTGCAGGTTTATTCTTGATGGATAAATGCGGTAGACGACCTCTTCTAATGGTAAGCTTGGTAAAGAATTCGTTACAAACTATTTTATGTATTTGATCTACAGCAACCAACGTAATCTCTGTTATTCTCCTTTTAGGTCTCTGCTGCTGGAATGTCCTTATTTTTCTTCCTTTTGGGATTATCCTTCTGCTTGCAGGTATAACCAGAAAAAGAAAAAAAAATTTAAAAAAAAAAATTGCTGCTCTTGACTTTTTCCATAAACCATCTCTGGGAAAAAAAAATTTGATGACAATGGTGTTTTTTGGTAATGACCAGGGAGTCAACTGCTTGGAACAGTATGCTCCTGTTTTGGCACTCATTGGCGCATTGGTATATTTCAATCTGTCCCAAACTATAATTGCTGTCTCATATTAGTTTTTAGAATTCGTTATAAAAGATTTACGTTGTCTTATTTTGCGAATTCGTTTTGTTCCCTTGAGCTGCATATCCTTGCATCTACATATGCTTTAAACTTCTGAAACAGAAGTTCTGTTTCTAACTTATTTAAACTAAAAACCAGGGGTGTAGTTCAGCCTTCACAATTGGCATGTCAGGAATACCATGGGTTATAATGTCAGAGGTACATAAATTAACTCCAAATACCGAATGCAACTTCATTTAGAAAGATCATACAGAAAATTTTTAAAATAGAAAGGACTTATTGGAGGATTTGTATTCTTTTTTTTTGTTTTTTTTTCTTTTACAGATATTTCCTATAAATGTGAAGGCCTTAGCAGGAAGCCTGGTGACTTTAATCAATTGGTCATGCGCTTTTTTGATTACATACACATTCAATTTTGCGATGGAATGGAGCACAGCAGGTTCTTCTTCTCTCCCAAACAATCTGCACATCTGGATATGCATTTTTGTCATGAAACTGAATATGAATGTCTTGAAAACATTTCTGTAGGAGTATTCTTCTTTTTTGCCGGTGTTTGTGCTTTAACTGTGTTGTTCACTGTCAAGTTGGTTCCGGAGACAAAGGGACGAACACTGGAGGAAATTCAGGCGTCTATGATGAAGAACTAAATTTCTATATGAAACAATAAAAGAAATCAATTCTATTGTATTAAGTATAGAAAAGGTCTTTTTTCCAATAGGAAGTATAGAATTTCACTAATATATGAAAATTATAAGGTTTACAGAACTCCATATCTCAATATCTTTCTTTGATATTTGATTGATATTTGATGATAAATTATACAACTATAAATAACTGTTCCTTGCCTCCCCCTTGCCTTTCCAACACTTCTCATGACCTGTTCCAATGTTTGAAGCC